TGAAGATCTACCAGTTGATAGTCCTCCAGTTGATGAGCCGCTAGCAAAAGGTTCACCTGTCTTAGTTGAGGATCCACCAGTTGATGATTCTCTAGTTGATGAACCGCTAATGTAAAGTCTACCAGTCTTATCTGAAGATCCGCCAGATGAAGCTCCACCAGTTGATGATTCTCTAATTGATGAACCGCTGGTGGAAGATCCAGCTGTCGTAGTTGAAGACCTGCCAGTTGAAGATCCACCAGTTGAAGATCTACCAGTTGATAGTCCTCCAGTTGATGAGCCGCTAGCAAAAGGTTCACCTGTCTTAGTTGAGGATCCACTAGTTGATGATTCTCTAGTTGATGAACCGCTAATGTAAGGTTCGCCAGTGGAAGGTCCACCAGTTGACGAATCACTAGTGGAAAGCTCACCAATCTTAGTTGAAGCACTACCAGTCGATCTACCAGTTGATGACCCGCTAGTTGATGATTCTCCATTTGATGAACCGCCAAAGGAGTATCCACCAGTCTTAGTTGAAGATCTGCCAGTGGAAGATCCACTGGTCTTAAATGAGGCTCCGCCAGCTGATGATTCTCTTGTTGATGAACAATTAATGAAAGGTCCATCAGTCTTAATTAATGACCCGTCAGAGGAAGGTTCACCGGTTGATAGTCCTCCAGTTGATAAACCGCTAGTAGAAGAACCAGTAGTCTTAGTTGAGATTCCACCAGTTGATGATTCTCTAGTTGATGAATCGCTAGTGGAAGAGCTACCATTCTTAGATAATGTATCGCTAGTGGAAGAACCAGTAGTCTCAGTTGAGGATCCTCCAGTTGATAGTCCTCCAGTTGATAAACCGCTGGCGGATGATTCTCCAGTTGGTGAATCGCTAGTGGAAAGCTCGCTAGTCTTAGCTGAGGTACTACTAGTCGATCTAGCAGTTGATGACCCGCTGGTTGATGACTCTGTAGTTGATGAGCCTCCAATGGAAGATCCGCCAGTCCTAGTTGAAGGTCCACCAGTCTTAGATGAGGATCCACTAGTTGATGGTTCTCCGGTTGATGAACCTCTAGCAACAGGTTCACCTGTCTTAGTTGAGGATCCAGCGGTTGACAATTCTCTAGTTGATGAACCTCCAGTAGAGGATCCACCAGTCTTAGTTATAAATCCTCCAGTGGAAGATCCACCAGTCTTAGCTGAAGATACGCCCGTTAAAGATCCACCAGTGAAAGATCCTCCAGACTCAGTTGAAAAACCACCTATTGGTGAGTCAGTGCTCGTTTTAGGCATTGTAGAATTTGTGGTGGAGTAAATACTACTTGATAAAGTCACAGAAAGACTGGACATGACAGAAGAATTAGCTCTGCCTGAAGAGATTGTTGTTGATAAGGACAAACTAGTGCCTGTCGCAGTTGAGGACAGTATTACTGAGCTAATAACTTCGGTAGGATATACAGGAAGTGAAGGACATGCTATACAATTGGAGTTCGAAGTACTACCTAAAGGAATAGGTTGACTATAGGTGACAGCTCCTCTGAGACTGGTTCCTAATAACCCACCAAAGTTGTAGGTAATGATGGAGAATCGTGAGGAGTCATATCCACTACCAATACGAAATTTACGATTGGAGAACCCAAAATTGTAATAAATTGTAAGTATACCTGTGCTAGAGGAGTAACTAGTAGAAGATATAATTACACTGATACCAATCACATTTCCTCCTCCAAACCCAGCAACTGTGAGAGTTTGAGGGAATGAAAGTACATCAACCCTCATTGCAGAAGTACTACTTGAAAGAAAAATTGTTTGTGATGTACTAACTGAAAGAAGAGAATTTGAAATCCAAAGATTGGCGTTTTTCCCAACGTTAATACATCCACTTCCAGCAATGGTGGCAGTTTGCTTCCAAACTTGCTCAATTAAACAAATTTGACCGTTGTTAGTTATACTTCCTAGAGCAGTACCCAAAGTAAGAAAACTTTCAGACTGAGAATCCAGCAGGAACACAAGCATACCGCCAGCAGAGTTTGTCCAAGAAGGGGCAATAATCTTATAACTTGCACTAAATGTAGCTCCTAGGGTATTATAATAAATTAACCCACTATTATAAAATGTTGTGGATATGAGATTGAATCTTGGTCCAGTTATTCCATATTGTGAATTAAACACTATGATTCCAGTATTTGAGATTGTGTTCAAGAGACCAGTACATGTAACGTCTAAAGAAAATAAAGGATTTGTAAGCGTAATATAAAGCTCCCCGTGGTTGTAAATGCTTCCGAGAAAGACATCAGTAAATGAATCTATAATAGACCAAAAAACACCAGCATCAATATTGACATCACCAAGTAAAGCAACAGGACCAACAGAAACAGTGTCACTAGTTATAGTTTGAGCACTTGCAATCTGCAAAAAAAGTGATAGTGAACTTACTGCAAGCACTGCAAGCTTGTCTAAAATACGCATCCTTGATGATTTCCAATGTAAAACTTCATGAACTAGGGATATACTACATGTTTTATATTATTCAGATATGGTAATAAAGTTGCAAGTGAAAAAAATATGTACTTCATTTTTATTTTAGCGTTGGGGCCCATTGATGATGAGCCGCGTTTTGTGCATATACTCGAGGCAAGGAAACATTTTTAAGCACCAAAAGGATCTGAAGAGGAAGAAAAACACTACATCAACTAGCTCCGATAACAATGACTAATGATTTGAAAACTAAAGTTATGTTAGGTTGTCATATTTACAATAATAGCTCTATGACAGTGTAAACGTGAAGATTTACCAGATATTAGTAAGTAAACCAAATCTGCAGCAGATTTTTTCAATTTTGTATTATGCATGGGGGGAATCGTTATGTAAAGACTCTTTTTCCTTGATTGACACATCAAACATGAAAGCACAAGTGCTTGCTGCATTCCTAAGTAATATGCTCTTTTACAGTACGGATTGAATTTGGTATGCAATTCGCCGAAAGCTGTCGTAAGAGGAGGCTCAAAAGTCTTCATGTAAAGACGTCGAACATTATGAAAACCGATTTTTTTAGAGTTGACTCTAGTTCATATTCACTTGAACCATATAGGCTAGTGATAAATTAAAATTTCAGAACCCTTTTATAAAGAATAAGAAATATAAATATTTATTGCTGCAACGAAATCTTTAATAATTATTTGCAGATTTTTCAAGATTTTGCAATGCATGAGGGGAGTCATTATGGCTCATTCTTGTCGATGGACACTTCCAAAATTCACGCACAATGGCCTACTACATTCATGGATTAAAACCGTTTCTTTCGCAGTTATGGGCTGAATATGGTATGCAATACGCTAAAATCTGTCTTGCGAAGAGGGTCAAAGTCCAAATGTGTATAGTTGAGTATATTGAAGGCTCTTTCGTTAAGACTCTTGATCACATATGATTTCCTTAATCTAAATCTAAGTTGAACAAAGAAGTTGAAGTCTCCTGCTTTATGGAATATGAAATCTAGCTGTTTACTAATACAGTTACGCAGTGGACAATGATTTTGCGACAACATTATTTACGAAAAGTTCTCTTTCAGTAGGCAATGGTCGTTGCTAATAAATCACAGAAACTCAAAAGTCAGCTGTGCAGGCATTTTGTAAAAGGACCTCCTAATTTTAGCACTATCACTATGACATAACTTATAACTTGAAGTTGTGCTGAAATTTCTATTCTTTGTAATCTTTGATTTGTCCGCTCTTGCATCAAATTGATGACGTTTAATCACTAATTCAGAAGATACATGCTTCATTTGGTAAGTGATGGTAATTTTAAAGGCAGAAATAAGGGAACAATTAGGAGTTAAACTTTTTGATTTGAGGCTTTTTGCAATAATGTGTTCCAGAAATGAGGCTCATTGAGGTAATAGTACTCGTTATAGTTGGACTTGGTCCATTATCCGAAGGAGGTGCTCTGCAAAGAAAGGAATTTAAACATAAAAGTCAGATAATTCTAGGTTCATTGTTTCTTTATGTTTTATCATCCTCTCGTCCACTTTCTCAATATTTACCTTCTTGCGAGTATTATTTAGTCTCTGTTACGAATTTACGAAATGCTCAACATATAAAAAAGTACGCTTTCAACTCAAATAAGCTCCGCTAAAACTTGCTGATTCAAAACGTTTTACGACAGTCACTAGTAACTCCGACATCGATCACTATTCCAATTTTTAACAAGAAACAAGAAATGTCACTTCCACTTTGATTAAATCTTCACCTTGAGATCATACATTGCTATGACCCAAGAGTATTCCGACATATTAGTTCCTGGCTTTTAATATCATGGTTAGCTGGATGAACCTATCTGAGGCTAGCAAAAGTGATATACAGAACACTAATAGTATGATCAGAGTGCATAATTTTACGAACAATCACAATATTTCTGGTTATGTGCACCGCGAGGGAGTTCCACTGCTGCATTTAATTACCCAGTGTGTGCTGCATAAGTCTCCACGAATTGGGTAGCTACCAGTTAAACTTCCCGCAGCGAACAAAATAGGAACTAAAATTTTTAAGCGAGGTAGTCAGGAGCAGCATGTGGTAATCAATGTAGCTTTTTCTAAGCAGAATGTCTCCTATATTTTATTCTAAATGTCCCCCTAAGTTGCTTTCTATAGCCATTTCTGAAGATACAGCTGCAGTCTTCACATAGTTGTGTCGTATACTTCTATGTTTTTTTTTGAAAATATTCTCTAGTTTGAAGAGGTGCAAAAACGATACAATTATTTTTTAGGCACTGTTTTGTAAGCCGCACCTTGTGCATATAACTACGATTTCATATAATGCAGTTATTCCACTGTCGATTGAGAATTATCAAAAGTCCTTAAAATTATAACCGCATACATATGAAAATTTTCTTCAGCGTGAATTTATCTCATTCTGCCTGTTTCTTATATTCATGATCTCGAAAACGTCACTAACAGTTTTTGAGCAACTTCCACGCCAGAGATAAGTATGAAAAGGTCCACTTGGAAGATCCCAATGTAATTTGGCAGATAGTTTCACAGTTATTTGATAATAATATTACTTTGAGCAGTCCAGAGGGGCTTCTTGAGGTCTCCTACACATTGCACGAGATATTTCTTTGGAACCCAAGATCAACCCAAATCATTTTGAACGTGGTGTAAATGTTCCACTGTATCTTTTAAAGTATAAGGTAACAAGATACGATACATTGCATTTGGTTACTTCTTGACATTTGAAAATTTTTCAATGTATTTAATTAACAAAAAGCTTAAAGTATAATTTAAGCTTTTAGTAATTGATACTTTAAAAAAGCTACGCTAAAAGATTTCGAAAGGAGCAGACTTTCTGCGAATATTGGGAGATACAGATAGGAGACGTATTGTGCTCATGGAGGTAATATTATGCACAAGTAGTGATACATTTCAGTAGTGAAATTCAAGGTTTAAGTAGCTGATATTTTTGAAGGAGTTTAACGAAGGAGTTGCAAGGGGCAGGTCAGTGGCTATTGCCAAATAAAGACAGGTGATGTATTGCGCTCTACATCGAAGTATTATGCACAAATGATAATAAAGTTTGAAAATTCAATCAGCACTTCAGCTTTCCTTATGTCATAATATAACTCTAGTTCTACGTAGGATCTTATATGCGTTAACACGTTTTCAATCATTCTAGAACAGCAAATTACCAAGTTTGAATAGCGCAGCCATTGCTAACTCATGTTTTCAAATTTTATTGGTATTGGTAGTTTTTAAACTTTGAACTAATAATCAGGATGTGTCATTCGAATTTGTATCTTTCTTTTCATGATAGTGTCTTTTACTTAGAGTTTTTGGGGTATATAACGTAAACGGAGAAGAAAGAGAATCGCCTGAAGTCGATCAATCCTTATTTTTTTTGAGTAGACTTTTTTTTTATGGTGTATGAGTTAACCCCAACTTCAAAACAATCCAATTCCATGATACGTTGTCGATGTCACTACTGGAATTTATCTCTTGCCCAATAAATCTTGCTTTTTTCTATCCATCTTACGAGCAAGTTGGATTTTTTCAGGGAAATATGCAGCACAGTTTCATATTACAAGAACCTACAATAGTGAATAATAGAAGAATTTTCAAAGAAATAAGCAATCTAGCGTTTAAAATCCTCTTATGTCTACACCATACTCTCAGAGGTGATTCAATTTTCTCGCTGTCTATCCTATTCTGATTCTTTATCAGTTATCTCAGAAAGGGAATCAATCAAAGTATTTGAGAAAGTGAAAGTATTATGGTTCTGAGAGCCTGTAATACAGTACATACACATACTTTTGAAAGCCCGACATTGGAAACAATACCCTCCCTTTTCATTGTATTTTTTACTTCTTCTGATGAGTGCATTGCATAAAGAAGTAAAGAGTCTTAAGCATAAAGTGGTTTAGCCCTGCCTGCATTTTTTATTTTATCTGTTGGATTTCACTCTCTGCTTGCGTCAAGTGCTTTTGCTGTCATTATTTTCTGCATGCAGCAGCATGTGATACGATGTAACATAATGATTCGAATTACACGATAGTCTGGCTCATTAAAGGGGTCAACCAGTTACATTAGAAGGTTTCTTTTCTGAAAAGAATTAGCTACCAGCTTATAATTACTCAACTCGTAGATATTTTTCTACCAGAACTTTTAACATGAAGATGGTACAATAATCTTAAACTATATGTTCTTGCGGCTGAAAAAGAGTGCTGCATGACAGTTTCAAATACGATCTACTGAAGTGCATAACAATCTTGAGTAAGATCTTTTTACGCTATTAACCCTGAAAATCGTGCGCTTTGCCGAATATGGACTAAAGAGTGTGGAACAGGAGCTGCAGTTGAAGTGTATGACAACCTTGAATGAAATCGATTTTACACTATTTACCCTGAAAATCGTGCGCCTCGCCGAATTTGGACTAAAGAGTGTGGAACTGGAGCTGCAGTTGAAGTGCATGACAACCTTGAATAAAATCGATTTTACACTATTTACCCTGAAAATCGTGCGCCTCGCCGAATATGGAAGAGTGTGTAACTGGAGCTGGGACCTTCAAAGTATCTGCCAGAAAATATCTAGGAATATTTTCTATATTGTTATTAATGCTACAGAACTGTATAGCATTGGATTCGTACTTTAGTTCTTGCTAGATGACCCTCTTCCGTGTTTCCTCATATAGAATTGACTTAAAATGTGCAAAAAATTGAATACCTTACGATTCCTGGTTCTTATGCAGTCTTTTTGAAAAGTTGGGAGAGTTGACAGAGATGGGCTGGCGCTAAGAAAGTACCTATCTTTATACTTATATTAGTTTGATTTCCTTCAACAACGCTGAAGTGTCTCGAATTTTGTACTGTTTGGTGCCAGGTCTTATTACCCCACTGGAAGAATAAGTCTCGTCATCATGAGGCTGAAAGAGTTCACTTGATGTTCTAAAAAATGTACTGTATCTTGAGATAGCAATAGGTATGCATATTCTCCAATATGACCAATACAAGTAAAACTGATCAGGATATTAAGGTAGATAAATAGATACTTCTACAATAGTGTGAGATTCAATTCAGTCTTTGCAATACCATTGCTCCAGTTCAATACTTACAATTCATTTGCAATATATGTGTATGTGTGTTTGTAGATTTCTCTTGAGCCTCTTGAGCCTAGCTCACATTTTTCACATTTTGCTACAAGTTTTCGTATTAGATACGTAAAATAGTTTCCCATTTCGGAGTCGAGATGATATCATTCAGTAACAATCATAGAGATACGTAGTCCGATCTTAGCGATAAAATCGCCGTCATAGAGATAACTGCTTCTATCACAAAGATTTCGAAGCTAATGCAGCCTGCTCTTTTCCTATGACTCCCAGCTTTGAACTACACCTCACAGAACTACAGCTCATATTACTACACTTCATAGAACTACGTCACAGAACCTCACACAACTACTTCTCATAGAGCTGCACCTCACAGAACCACTCCTCGCAGAACTACACCTCACAGAACCACTCCTCTCAGAACTACACCTCACAGACCACTCCTCTCAGAAAACTCTAGCCTGACGAACGTTTCTCAAAGTGCACACCTTCTTTATGTGAACTGTATGTATGCGAACAGTACCTGCTGCAATCGGGACCACCCCCTCCAAACAAAAATGAACTAACTACTTCGTTATACATACCTATACGTATTCACTGCTTGGTTGCTATGGGCTCTAAACTCGCTATCCAGCTTACATTCATACAGATTATATTTGTATCTCTAGAATATTATTAAACCCGTCTTTCTCTCCCCTTGGCTAAATATTGCAGCCTACTAAACTTCCAGCAACCCTTCCCCTCCTTATCAGAATTTGCTCGTTGTCCTGTATACAGGTATATGTGGACGTCCTGCATACCCGTCTTCCGTGCTCACCCACCAGTCCCACCAGACAGCATGTTCGGAACTACTGCGGACTACTAGAGATCAACATAGCCCTCGCCTAAGAGCAGACCGTTTGTACATAAGTATAGCTGCAGCATGATATATCGCTTGAGAACAACATTGGTGTTGTTTTGTCTTGCCCTTGCTCAAGTTGTGCTTGCCAACAAGGCCAAGTTCGACGAAGAGCTCGTTCCTCAAGTATGCGCTGGAATGTACTCCAAGCATGACTGGGGTGGGGCATACAGACCTCACATTGGAATCCTGGTAACTGACTACGCCGGTGAACATTACAAGCCTGGGGATGAAGTTTCCACTACACCCTTCAGTCTGCCAATTAGTTATGTGATTTTCGAAATCAAAGACTTGAAAAATATCGGGTACGAATTGGATAATGGCCAGACCAAGTACATCTGCGATGATTATGCCATCAAAACGTTAAAGGCCTGTAATGAGACCCAAAAGGGGAAGTTTATAATAAATGGGGAGTACCCAACCAATACCACCATCTTGACGTCGCAATTGACCCATTTGGGAGCAGCACACATAAATTACACCATCGTTAAGACAGGGTACTACTGTGTGTCTACATTCATAGCTTCCGACAAGAAATATCAAGGGGTCATCAACTTCCAAAATGCGTTTGGTTTCTTGAGTGCTAGTGAAATACCAAAGCTCCCTGCCTACGGGATCTTGTGTATCTGTTATCTTGTAGCTTTGGCCTTGTACGGATTTCAATTCTTCAAGAAGAGAAATAAGAATCAGATCTTGCCCTTACAGCGTTATCTTTTGGCTATGTTGGGATTACTCACGTTTGACACTTTGGTGGTTTGGTCATACTATGATTTGGTGAACAGAACTTCGAACCCATCGTCTAAATTTGTCACTGCTTATATGATTTTCTTGAGTATCTTGAACTCTACTAAGATCACCTTCTCGTTCTTCCTTTTGCTTTGTATATCCTTGGGATACGGGGTTGTGGTATTGAAATTGAAGAAGTCCGTCATGCTTAAGTGTAAGATCTTGGCCGGTGTACACTTTTTAGCTTGTTGCTGTTACCTTATCTCAACTTACTTGACTGGATCGGCCACTGCTACTTCTTCCGCTGAGCCTAAGCATTCGAACTTTGGAAGCTTGCTTTTCTTGCTCCCAATGATCCCAATTACAATCACATTGACTGTTTACTATTTGGCAGTTCTTATCTCGATTAAGCAGACGACAGCAAAGCTTCACGCTCAACGTCAAATTATAAAATTAAAATTGTACGAAAACTTGTTTAGAATCATTTTCGGATCTGTTGTTGTAACCATGTTTGGCTTAGCGTTCTCGTCTTTTGTATATATGAGTATGTCTAGCGGTCAGTCCATTGAGCAATACTGGAAGGCTGCTTACTTCCTTTACGAGTTTTGGCCAAGTATCATATTCTTCATAGTCTTTATGGGGGTTGGATGGCTCTGGAGGCCCACAGAAACAAGTTACATGTTGGCAATCTCGCAGCAATTGTCCAATCAAGGGGGTGACGAAGAAGAGGACTTGGAGGGTAATGGATATCACCAGCATGGAACGGAATTTGAGTTGGATGATTTGTCGTTGTTAAGTCACAGCGACACAGAAAATGAGCCTAGGCGTGATGTTGATTTAGACGATTCTTTTGAGCTTGAGCGTGAACCTACAGCTTCAACCGCAGCTGCTCCCGTTCCTCCTTCTTATGAAGAACTAGATTCTAAGAAGAAGAAGAAATCAGAAGATGAAGAGGGTGACGACGGGAACACTCTCTTTGAATTGGGTGAGGAAAGTGATGGTGAAGAAGAGGGCAATAATAAGCATGATGATAGATTAAACTAAGCTACGGATACGGTATGAATCAATTAAATAAAAAGAAAATAGCTTAGAAAAAGAATAAAATATACCATAGACTTGTATGGAAATTGAAGTTGGGTTATGTATCAAGTGGGTGCGTTGTAATGTTCTTTCTCATTCTTATGTGCTTCTTTCAAGCACCCTGTTTTCTTTGTCTTTTTCTTTTTCTTGTATTAATCTATGTATGTAGCTAAGTTGGAGCCAGCTATGGCTTTCTTAATTCGCAGCCCAGATAGATCCTCCATTTTGTAACATCTCATTCCCTAATTTTTCAACACCGCTGTCCCACTTGTTCAAGTGATCGTATAACACCTTTACTTGATCGAGGTTCAAGATTCTTGGCTGTAACCATGTGACAATCAAGGAGCTTTCAATTTGGTTGATGTAGCCCTTAATCAAACCCAACAGGAAGCATTTAATAATCAAATGCTCAACGTCGTTCAATGGAGCACCGGTGAAGTCAGATATTTCCTTGAATTGTAAAACCTTGTTCGTAGCTGGTTTCAAGGAGATCAACTCCAAAAGTGACATTATAATGATCTTTTGCTGTAAGAAGACTTCGTGCGCTTCCAAAATTGGCGCCTTATCCTTCCCCACGGCCAACCACTTCAGGAACCCTTCCAAGTTTCCAGCGTTTAAGAACTGAATTAAGTTGTATAACCATTCCCATTGGGATCCTTGTAACAGCTTCAAGATGTCGTGAAGGATCAACTCACCGAAGTTATATATCTTATCTCCCAAGAGGGCAGAGATGGCCAAGTCGTAACATAATCTCTGTTGTTCTACTATGTCGAGAGTTTGGTTGGCGCTTTTGTTCACCGTAGCTATGGCCGAAAGGTAGAGCAATCCATTGGAATAATAATGGTTGTAGTCTTCACGGATCTTGTACAACTGACAATTGGTCAAGTAATATGCTGCATTCACCTTGGCTTGGAATTCAACCTTCTCGTAGCTTGATTCGAACTTCTTGTTAAGAGAGTCCAAGATTTCGTCAGATGCCTTCAACTGGGTTTCCCTCTGGTTGGAGTAGAGATAGAATCTGGCCAACTGTAATGCAACGTACACCACAGCTTCGTCATCCTCGATCAGTTTTTCCAAATCTTCCACCTGGTGCAGATTTGAGTTCGTCTTCAAGTAGTTTGTTCTTATGTTTTGTTGTAATTCTGTCAACTTCTCGATCCCAACCTCGACGTTCTCCTCCTTAGTCAAGTCAAGATCTTCCAACGAAGCCAAGAGGAAATCAACCACCTGAATCTGGTTCAATTTCAGTGAAAATTGAGATACAAACAAGTCGTAGATTCTGGTACGAACAGATGTACCGGCAGAAGCCTTACTCCTATAGAATTCCTCTAGCGATAACGTCAATTGATGCCACAACTTTCTTTCATAGTAGTCTTCCAATTCATAGAATAAGTTGATCAAGTCACCGTTCTCGGTTTCCAGTCTCAATGTGGCCAAAACTGTTGACACATCTGAATCTACTTCCATTGCGCTCATATTAATATACTATATACTATGGAATTTGGGGGGGTTAATCGGGTTATTTGACCATATGATCTCTCCATTTCAGCGTGTGTTCGGAAGGTTGGCATTTCCATATCTTGTGCGAGTATTGCCACCACCTAGACTTCCTAAAAGGGAAGTAAGTGGGTTAGTGAAAAGTTGTGGCTAAAGTGCGGGAGTTGTCCTACTCAGCAGTAGAAGCTTACTGTATGGGTGAGTACGTCTCAGTGTCGGTCTTTTCGTGTTTACTCTTAGGGTAAGGCGGTACCGAGAGTATGTAAAAGAGAGAAACGTAAATTAGAGGTGCATCGAAGGATTTTGATGCTAATTGTTATACCCTACAATCAGTAAAAACATATCAATAGTTACTCACATTTTGCAACTACAGACCAAAATAAATAATTGAGATGAAAAATACCAGCTAGCACCAATTTTCATATAAGTGTCAATTCAGGCCAAGAGATGTAACGTAGCATATGTCTCTTCCATGTAGAGCCTGACCAGGCTTTATCCTGCTAAGCTAAGCACTCTTTCGAGTAGATTGCATCTTCTCTTTTGATATCACGTGATTTAAACTCAAACATCAATACACCAGTGTTTCTCTTGGTAAAACATGTACCTGCCTACAACGAATTACTACGTTAAATCAATTCCAAGTTCTATTCATGCCGATATCATATTAAATAACAAAACCACATATCCGTGGCCACTGAACTTTTCATAGGAAAAGTTCCTAAGGATTGGTTACTACATCCTCTAATGTCTACTTTACTTTCACTTCTTTCATAATTTATTCAACAGCTGGTAAATCATTCTTCATATCCTGCCATGATTGTAAGTTTTCTTCGAACAACTTCTTACCACCACGGATAAAATCTAGCATGATTTTCAACCACCTCTTTTCCAAGAATTTCAAAAACTCTTCAAAGTTTTCCTCTAATTCTTTGGTAAGTTCAATCATGTCGCTATTAGTTAAATCTATAAGTTGGTCCAATTTTTCGATCTCCCTGTGTATCTGTTCAATTTTATTCTTGAACTGGAATTGCTGAGCGTTGGAGATTTGGTTAGTAGCATATAGTTCAGAATTGGCTGTTGAACCAGGAACTTCAGCTGTAGAGGAACCGGCTCCAACATTCTGCAGTGGCTCCTCATTCGCCTGTGCTAAAGTCTCATAGTTCAAATTACTATTTAAATTCGATTTGTTACCTCCGAATAAACCGTACCAGCTCTTTTTCTGTCTCACCAGAAGTGATTTCTTATATTTACGTTGCTTTTGTTCGAATCTTTTCACCGCTTGAGTTATGGATGGAGAATTAAGCTCAAGTCCATTCTTGAGTGCTTCATTGATATTTTGCTGTGAGTCTAATGAGTCAGTGTAAGACTCCAATTCGAGTTGCTTGCGTACTCTTGACTTTTTTATAAGTTTGAATTGGATGAGTTTCAACTTATAGAATCTAAGAAGATGGGTGGCGGAATAATAGTGCTGGATGAGCTGATGGATGGGTTCCTGCCATTTGGGTATAAACGATGAAATAGTATAAGATTCATAATTCAAAAACACTGAGTCTATAGTGGAACCAAACTTTTCAATTTGGTTAGCAAGGTTAACCTCATTGTCTGAATTTGGAGAATGGATTTGAAGAGAAAAATTGTTAAGATTGGATCCAAGTTCAATGAGTGCAGATATCAAAGATTTAAGATGAGTGGATGCCCTAGTGTTAAGTTTCTCAAGGTCTGACGTCGTTTTGATCGCATGCAAAAAATTGGCCTCAAAATGAATTAACGTTAGTGGAATTTCATTAAATGCTTTAGAGTCATCCCTCTCCTCTGCAATAATTGTACTTCTTGCTATGGCATTCGCTTTCTGTAAATCTTCGTTTAACTTTTTCAAACTTCCAAGATTATCTCCAGTGCCGCTGTTACTTCCAGGTTCATAGCCGTTTAACACTGGCAACAAACTGTACAATCCATTTTGCCTTGTTGGATCAATGGGGCTACCAAGCAACAAGTTATCAGGCACCAACGTCAACGGAGGCTCGTTTATTGCATTCTCCCAGCACATCTCGTAGTTCGGGTCCAAGAATTTGTGGAGCAAGACACAGTTTTTCAATCTTTCGTTGGAGTGGAATATTAAATCTTTCAAGAAGAACTCGAACAATCTCTTTCTAGTCTCAACGATGGATATTTCCTCGTTGTTATTGATGGAAGTAATCAAGTATGTTAACAATGAATGCTTTTGGGGAATGGGTGGGATAATAATAGTCGGGAAAAGTCTCATCAAGTTGTCTCTTAAGGACTTGAACTCGGAGTATCTTCTCTTGACAATGATGCCAGATCCTACAGGCGACAGCTTATGTTTCAATTCAATGCAATATACCACTACCGATGAGGAGTTCATGAGTTTTTCTGTAGATATCACTTCAATGGATATGGAGTCTCTACCTTGATTTATAAGGTCCGCTATTTTAGAAGATATCACAAGCGAGTCATTGATGTTGAGCCCGCCATTGGCTGAAGATCTACCGGCTCTCTTCTTACTCTGTGAATGTGTCTTTGGATGTGAATTGCCACCACTACCCACAGCGCCCTTCTGTTGGTGCTGGTGCTGGTGCTGCTGGTGCGGTTTCTGTGACGCCGAAGTGTCTATCAGCATCAGCTCATCCTCGTCTGTGGAACTAAACCGTCTCTCGTTCCCGTATGGATCGTTTATTACAGACAAGTTTCCATAGAACGACGGATTGTTATCCTGCTCAATGTCTCCAAAGGGGTTCTGCTCCGACATGCTGCAACAGATAACAAGAAAAAAATCTACCCTTCACTATCGCTTTTGTCTGTTATGGATACTGCCTTCGCTGTTGGTATTGTCGTTACGTATTTCTTGACCAAGCCTGTGGCGATTAGAAAATTGCGGAACTGCAAGAAAAAAGGGCAGTTGCTTATCACCTATATGCAGGAAGAGAGAACAGGAAGAAGGCACAATGTTGGGGAAGACGGAAAGAAGAGAGGAACAGAATGGCACAGCGGTGTAAGTTCAGGAAAAAAAGGTGAGCAATTGTTCGATGAGGACTTGAATGGAGAAGAGTTGACGGGTTGAGAGAGTGAAAAATGAACGTGGATGGGAAAAGAATGTGGGTGATTTACTTACCATATAAGCTAGTACGTGAGTACAGTATATGGTATACCCTACCTGCAGTACCACACACAGTCAGTATTTTTTATTCCACACCAAGTTTTTGATTTTTTTTTTTAATTTTCACTGGAGAGCCTATCGTAATTCTACCTGTGAGTGTTCACTATTACCCATTATGGCTTCCAATAGAGACAAGAAAATAGCTACGGCCAATGCCAATACTCTCAAGGAGCTCCACTTGATCACTTTGGCCATAAATGCGCTTGTGATTCTAATTATATACTTTTTCAGTAGACCCTCCTCGTTCTTACCATACATAATCTTCTCATTTCCAGCATTCTTTTCTCAGTACACCCTTGAAAAATCTGGAAGACCGAAATATGGAAATGATGAGTACGGTCAGCACAGATTGATCTCCTCTGGAGATGAAATCAAAGGAGAGGGATTGTTTGAATATATGTTCGATATCATCTATGTCACGTGGTTCTTGGATATCTTGATGGTTGCTTTTGGATCCAACAAGGTATGGTGGTTGTTTTTAGCAGTTCCTGGTTATGCATCGTACAAATTGTTTGGGTTTGTGAAGCCATTTTTGCTGTTAGGAAAGGGAAGCAAAGCGGACGGTGTACCAGAAAGTGACGATACTGCAGATAAGAGCGGCAAAAAGGGCCAATCTAAGAGACAAGCGAAGTTGGAAGCAAGAGGCCAGAAACAGCAGGTTAGATACAGGTAAGGATGAGATACCAAAGATGGGGAAACCAAAGTGAAGAGATACCAAAGATGCGCAACCAAAATGAAAGGGTTTTAGGTACCGAAGAGAATTGATTTTTTTTCTTCTTCTCCTACTTTTCACCTTTTTCACTTTACGATTTTCCCTTCCTCCCTTCGGTACTTACCTAAGTGAAACTCATGTACTTAGATAAGCGCATATGTAAGATTTGATACTGTAAATAGGTTGCAGAATTAAAATATAAACTTCCATGAAACACTACGATCTTTCCAGATGTCACACGGAAGATTACAACACGTGAAATATGTAGAGCAGATGGGTCACCCGGAAGGAACGTTTTTGACACTTGCGAAGCTGAGCATGCTCAGCGTATCGACCGACTCACGCGGCTGTTTGAGCATACTTTCACTATCTTAGCAATTCTCTTTGTTAATTCTTTTTTTTTTTTGCGATCTTAGATCACTGATTTCTTCCTACGGTTGGCAAGTCCCACCTAAAAGCGCTACATGAAATAAAAGTAAATAGAGTCGTAGAACTGACATAGCCATCTGGGGGATTCAGGCACACAGGATTCAGATATGCATCAAGAAGCAGATCGCACTCTCCGTCTAACCCACTCGCCACTCCCTCTCCTTTTCTGCCTTTCACTTGGTCTCTCCCTCTCTATCTCTCTCTCTGTCTGTCTCTCTCTCTCTCTCAATCTCATGCAGCCCGCTGCTTTTTTCGGCACACACTACCACATAGCCAGCAATAGCCGCGATTTGGGTGCAAATGATGATCAATTTAATCCCGAAGCAGTAAAAGTATTTCCCGAACATGCTACCATCTCTCCTATTCTACTTTGGCCTGATATCGTGACCAAAGTAAAATTTCATATACAGCCCAAGACTCTGTGATATTAAGCGCAATTCGATGGCAAATCAGGCTATGGCCGATATTTTTCGGAACCCCAAAAATAGACCTCTGTCATATTTTCTTCGAGGCTTCTAAGATTTTTCACCTTCTCCGCCTGCAGATAGCCAATCTTAAACTTTGGGTTGGTCGTCACGCGTTATCCGGGTAATTTCCGTATTCATGCCTCGCTGTACACATTGCCCCCTTCCGATCGTCAACCTTCGGGACTTTCACTGAAAGTCACTTTGAAAATTTCGAAACACTGAACAACATTAAAAGAAGAAAGTTTTCTCTCTTACTATTCACCCTTTTAAGTGTAAAAATATAAATAAATAATAGACAAAATGGACGGAGGTATGTAATATATGTTACTAGATTGATTGCTATGTCGAAAATGGTCTTGAATTGATGTTTGGTGATTGATTGAGAAATTTTGATTCGTTCTTTCTGCTGGCGACCCTGACGCCAATTGAAAAATCGAAGAAATGTCGAACACAGATTTCCAAGATTTGCCGATACTGAAGGAATCAGCACCGCTATGCGTACAAGCTCGTGGCCTACTAGACTGGCATCCATTCTCGAACCCTTACTGCTGGAATTGGCCTTTGAGTCGGTCAAAGCGACTGGCCATAGACCTTTTTGGTATAGGGGGAGGGGGAGTCGGACTGGGAGACGTGCGAGTTTGATTTTTTTTTTCCTCCTAAAAATTTTCGGGATTTTTCTTTGCTATTTGCCATCATCAACATCAACGTCGACCAATACATCGAAGGAAATGATGTGATATAGTGACAATGTAGTTGGTGAATCATGTCAATGATGATTCACGCTACTTCATTTCAAACCTTTATACTAACCCATCCTTATAGAAGACGTAGCTGCTTTAGTTATCGATAACGGTTCTGGTATGTGTAAAGCCGGTTTCGCCGGTGATGACGCTCCACGTGCTGTATTCCCATCTATCGTTGGTAGACCAAGACATCAAGGTATCATGGTTGGTATGGGCCAAAAGGACTCTTATGTTGGAGATGAAGCTCAATCCAAGAGAGGTATCTTAACCTTGAGATACCCAATCGAACACGGTATCGTTACCAACTGGGATGATATGGAAAAGATTTGGCATCACACCTTCTACAATGAATTGCGTGTCGCTCCGGAAGAACACCCAGTTTTATTGACTGAAGCTCCAATGAACCCTAAATCTAACAGAGAAAAGATGACCCAAATTATGTTTGAAACTTTCAATGTTCCAGCTTTCTATGTTTCTATTCAAGCTGTCTTATCCTTATACTCCTCTGGTAGAACTACCGGTATCGTTTTAGATTCCGGTGATGGTGTTACCCACGTTGTTCCAATCTACGCTGGTTTCTCCTTACCACACGGTATCTTAAGAATTGATTTAGCTGGTCGTGATTTAACCGAATACTTAATGAAGATTCTTTCTGAACGTGGTTACGCCTTCACTACCTCTGCTGAAAGAGAAATTGTTAGAGATATCAAGGAAAAATTATGTTACGTTGCCTTAGATTTCGAACAAGAAATGCAAACCTCTTCTCAATCTTCTGCTATTGAAAAGTCTTACGAATTACCAGATGGTCAAGTTATTACCATTGGTAACGAAAGATTCAGAGCCTCTGAAGCTTTATTCAGACCTGCTGAATTAGGTTTAGAATCTGCTGGTATTGACCAAACTACTTATAACTCCATTATGAAGTGTGACGTTGACGTTAGAAAGGAATTATACGGTAACATTGTTATGTCTGGTGGTACTACTATGTTCCCAGGTATTGCTGAACGTATGCAAAAGGAAATTACTGCTTTGGCTCCATCTTCCATGAAGGTTAAGATCATTGCTCCACCTGAAAGAAAGTACTCTGTGTGGATTGGTGGTTCTATTTTGGCTTCTTTATCTACTTTCCAACAAATGTGGATCTCAAAACAAGAATACGACGAATCTGGACCATCTATCGTTCACCACAAATGTTTCTAAGCGAATTGAAAGATTTATATTTATGTTGTATCTTCCAATCTCTTCTTTTTTTATTTTATGAAGTAAAATAGAGGCTCAAAAATGATATAATATGATATAATTTTAAATCCAGAAAAGCTTGTCTTCCAAAAAAATTTACTAGTGCTTAAAAATTTGTATTCTTGTTCAACTTTATTATATATATAATTTCTTTTCTATTTAGCTATAAATGAAGAATTGAAAGACGTAAATGTAGAGAAATAGCGATATAGTAAAAGTAGCTGCTTAGCCAACTAGATCTTACATTTATTAACTAGCTTTATTTGCTGTTTACTCTTATAACTGCAAACCTGGAGTCTTACCTTTCAATCTACCTAAAACACACTCTTTTGCATATCTAACAATGACATTGTCCTCGTGTAGCATATCGAAACTCTCAGTAGCATCTTTACCAGCAAAGTTAAGAATAGATGATTCTCCACCTGGATGGTCCTTTAAAAATGAAGTGAGATCAAGAACGACATTCTTAACAATGCACCAACAATCAGTAGGTGAGTTGTGCTTAGCAACTTCCTCAGCAGTGAATTCCTTAGCCGGAATTTCAAATTGTTGATATGGGTTCGAATTCTTCTTTGGTGGTTCCGTAGACGAAGGAGGAGGGGAAGTAGATTGCGACTGGTCATTTGAAGACGAACTCTTTTCCCCACCCAATTGAATCACTACCCTATCGTTTCCTTCAATATGAACGCTTATCTGCTTGAGTCTATTGATTGCATTGGAATTTTGGGACAACTTCTCTAGAACATGCTTGGTCGCTGAGTCAGCAGCCACTCTTCCATAAACCACACAGGCAAGAAGGGAAGATCCTCCTAGTCTGTTGTGTCCATGAACACCACCGGCAACTTCTCCACAAGCATACAAGCCCTCAAATGATTTGAACTCGTTCTTGTCACTCACTTGGTACAAAACCTCTGACTTATCATTAATTTTGATCCCACCCATGGTAAAATGAAGCACTCTAGTGATGAACGACATGTAATAATTATCATTGGCTTTAAGTTCAAAAGGTGTAGCTGGGAAAAATTGCTTACCGTAGGCATCAGAAATCTCAGAATCAGCAGCTGCCTTATTGTACGAATCGAGAGTCTTTGTAACAATGTCTTTACCATTCTCACCAAATTCCTTAACTAGTTCATCTCCCGTAATCTTTTTCATTAAATTTCTCTGACTGTAATGCTTGATATGGAAGTCTAGTTTAGATTCTGCCTTAGAATTCAAGATCAAACGAATAGGGCCATTGCCTTGTTTAAGCTGTTCTTCCATTTTTCCACTGACATAGTCTCTAGTACCCAATTCATCACAGAATCTTTCTCCCTTTTTGTTGAGCATTATACCACCTTCACCTCTTAATGCTTCAGCACCTAAGAACAAGAATCTGGGAGACAGCTTGCCCAGAATGACATCACTATCGTCAAGATTGATGAGTCCGGTTGGGTGTACTTGCACCTTATCCAAATCGATACCAACACCACTATTTTTCATTATAATCTTTTGTCCATCACCAGTGGCATGATTCCCATTTGTTGAAGGAAGATCAATAATGTCTGGCCTATACTTCCTCAAGAGAGAGTTCTTAGTAAAATCAGCTGCATAACCACCAGTGGCCATGATAACTGGACCATTCAATTCATGTTTTGTCTTGTCCACCAAATTTTTGTACTTTACTCCTAATATGTTAAAATCATCTTGCTTAATTAGATCGATAACTTGGCATTTTTTCAAGATTTGAATTCTATGAGGTTCCAGATCAGCCAAGTTCTCCAACTTTTCAAGTAAAGCATAGGTAATGGCCATGCCCGGGAACTTGGCATCCTTACCTCTGTGCGTTCTAGGCTGCGAGTGTCCTCCTAACCTGGAAACAACCGACAAGTCCAATGCAAATACTTCTTGCAACCAATGTACAGCATCTGCAGAGTTATAAGTTAACACCTTAATCAAATCCGGGTTTGCTCTATCTTTCGCAGTCTTCAAAGTGTCCTCATAGAATTGCTTTACCAGATCTTCGATATTCAAATCAATTTGCGTTCTAGTTAAAGCACCGTTAATACCAGACGTAGCCTTACCACTATTTCCAGAAAGAAATCCTTGTTTGTCTAAAAGAATCACATTAGCACCACGAAGGTAGCATTGGTGCGCAGCAGAGAGACCTGCTAATCCACCACCAACAATAATTATAGGATTTTCGGGTGACATTGACTTGTTTTTCAGGTTTTCTTTTTCAATTTTTAGTAACTACAGATAATTTTAAGCTACGAATACAAGTAAAAAGACCGATATTTATATGTACCTAGCAAATTCCACCCACTAGCACCACTCTCAACTTTTAGTTGCTGGGATAAGTTTTGCATTTTGCGGGGACAGACCAACTAATTCCGGGGTTAGATGCACTCTTTTTTATTCTTACGTAATTGCATATGGAGTTGCATATAATGGCTACACCGAAGTTTGTTGGATTATGTTAGCTCTATTATAACAGATTCTATTTAGAATAATTTAATGTGATATATACTGGAAGGAAAATGTGACATCGTCGAAATTAGATTCATTCTTCAATAAAATATCCTCCGTTTTGCCTATCTCTTCTCTATTTAAGTGGTTCCATGTCGTGGCGTCACCATACAACATGGCTGGAGACTTCATTTTCTGTACCCCATCCTCGTCACACCTCTTGCAACCGTATGTCTCGTGAGTATCACATCTAGTCTTTGGATTATACTCAAATAACATTTTAAGGTTCGCAGAACTGAAAAATCTTTCCACGTCTTCAACCTCATCAACAACACAACTCGATAACTGTAACTTCATGGATTGTCTTTGAAATATTTTCTCTTCAATGGTACCAGTCAGAATAAACCTATATATAAAGCAATCTTTCTTTTGACCATCTCTCCATATTCTTGCCAAAGCCTGTTGGTCTGCAGCAGGATTCCAGTCTGGATCTATAAGAACTAATCTATTTGCTCCTATGAGATTAATACCACAACCACCTGCCTTAGAAGACAAGAGGAATATGAACTCCGGAGATTCTGGATCATTGAATTTATCGACCAATTTTTGTCTTTTGTTAATATTCATTGTTCCATCAAGTCTCAAGACGCCATACTTATTGAAACGACACAACTTCTCGATAAGATCCAATGTTTGTGTGTAATTTGAAATAAGCACAATTTTATCATTAGTCTCAGTACGAATCTTGTGTAGAAAACGGGTTAAAATCTGGAACTTCCCAGAGTACCACGTTTGAACTTCTTTATTTCTAGAATAGCCTCCGTGTCCAATGGTAGACTGGTAATCATCAGGAATTAGTTTATCACAACCTTCTAAATCATCAGGCAAATTAAGCAAATCTGGGTGATTACAAAGTTTCTTCAATATTCCGATGGCCTTCAATGGCTGGGACCCTGTTCCCTTCAAAAGCTTTCTAATCTCTGGAGAGGTTATAAAATGGTTATATAAATCATGCTGCATCGGAGCCAATCCGACGAAAACAACATGTTCGTATTTGACTGGCAAATATTTAGAGAGAATATCGTTCGTTCTACGAATGATAAATTTACTTACTAGTTGGGATAATTCTCCCAATTTAACGTCACCCTTAGATCTTTCGTCATCGGTTGCATCAGCGTCTCTACCTCTAAGAATAGCATTTTCAAAATTCTTCTTGAAATCTAATCTTGTTCCAAGGTAGCCTGGATTGGCGAAGTTTAGTAAAGAGAAATATTCAGAAAGATCGTTTTGAATTGGAGTTCCTGAGAGGATTACCCTTCTTTCACATCTTAAAGCATTTAAAGCAGTGAAAGTTAAAGAATCCCCATTTTTCAATCTATGACCTTCATCCGCCAAGAGCAAACCAACTTCTGTTCCTGCTAATTTGTCAACATTCCTCCTAAGTGTCTCGTATGAAATTATCAAGATAGGACGAACGATATTCCTACCAGTTGCGACAGACCATTGTTGTAAAGCTGGACCCAAATCACTGGATTTGACAGACTTTCCATCGACAGCTAATGGAGTGACAGCCCCTTCACCTAACCATTTTGTTAATTCGTTGGCCCAATTTCTAACCAAAGAACTTGGGCACACAATAACACACTTTTCAATTGTACGCTTCCCGCGTGGACTTTGTTTTAATAAAGTCCACATTAAGGCAATACATTGCAAAGTTTTACCCAAACCCATTTCATCGGCCATAATGCATCCCTTGGCCCTAGGGTCTATCAATCCAGAGGTACACCGGTAAAGGAACTTCACCCCAGCTATTTGATGCGGACGTAAGATCTTTGCAAGCTTGGGATCAATTACTACAGGAACATCGGGAAACTTGTTGTACGCTTCTTCAGGATTCTTACAAATACCAAGCATTTCTGCTAGAGACCGGTGGACCTTTTTCTTACCCTTTTCATTAACTTCTGGGCTCTCTTCCTTCGCTTCATCTTTTGCTTCTTCCTTCGCATCTTCATCAACGGATTTAGGTATTACATCTACAGTAGGGTCATATAAGACAATCGCAAATTCACTGGTTGGATCGTGCAATGATCTAGGGGGTATTATCGGTTTTCTACGGGTACCCAATGGTGGCGGTGCCAAGAGGTCACTTAACTTTTTCTTATCATGGAACGGAACTGCAAATGCCTTCCTCATCTTCATTTCATTTTGATCCAATGACTTTAACACTTGTCTTGGATGAAGAGCCCCTACTTTCCGCTTTTTCACCACATCTCCAAACTCATCAATATATTCGTCGTTTTCTTTGGTACTAGGCACCAACTCATCATTGTAGTTTTTCAACTTTCTTGCACATGTTCTCTTCGTAGCGCCATTTGCTCTAGCTGCAAATGGGATCTTGAAGGGCTTGCGGAGTCGGTCTGAATATTCAGTCAGCATTGCAAGTTTACTTTTATAATTCTATGTCTGTCCACTTAACTTGAATATATGGTATTTCCCAACGCTTTACGGAATCTATATATGCTGATTCTAATTACTAATACAGAAAGAATGCTGTCATACCCTCTCGCTTTTGTTATGTAAACAAAGAAACTCAAAACACCAATAATTTTTTTTTTTCGTAGGCGCGATATCGTGCAGCAGTTTCTCTCGCCCGTAAGCAGCAACTGTAGGAGATGAGCACCATCACCTAGAATTGACCCCCACAGTTCGTTACATAGTATTTCAATTCTTTGTCGTTCAGAGTTCCGAAATCGAATAATTTGCACATGGATGACATTCTTGCAAAGGCTGGGAGCCAGGCGGTAACGTTTGCGATCCGTTCTGGGATCTCTTTCGCCTCTGGGTATGCGATCAAAACGGTGGTTAAGTTCATTGAAAAATTACCTAAAGATGATAAGAAGAAGGTCGAGCTGCTATACAATGAAATTCAAACCAAAATAGCTATATTGTCCAACTCAATGGACCTAATAAGGTTGGCCGCTGCTAGGGGTAACACAATACTAGTTCCATCTTTGGATTTGGTCAATTCGATTCAAACCGAAATCGAGAAGCTCGATTCTAAGATGAATCTGATTCTCTTGGGGTACTCACCTGCAAATGAGGCTCAATCTGTTGACACCGTTTTGAAGTCCATGAACACTTTAGTAGGCAAGATTGAAAATTCTATCCCGTTTTTACAATTGTCCATAAGTACAAGTGGTATCCAAGCCACTGGCATGCTCCCATCGCTGGTTTCACCTGGTAGACTCTTACAGGCATCTCACGAGATCAACCAAGCCAACTCTTCCCTCGCTAATTCCTCGGGGAAAGTTGGTCCCTTGTTCGATACTACTCTATATTCTATATTCTATAACCCAAGTAGATTGAAATACGTAGATGAGAGCCTGACTCTGGCCATATCCTGGAAAGAGGACTTCGCCAGAGCATCAGCTCAAGTTTATAAAAGAGGAGAATTTACATATGAGCTCGAAATTGTGGAGGATTTTGATGATGATCGATATCACGAAGATGATGCAAACCCAAGGAAGCACACCATTTCTATACTGGATATAGCTAGATTGTTTTTTAGTGCCTCAGGAAAGCTACTCAAATTGGAGGGCAATAGTTCTCCTGTACTCATACTAAAGTTACTTGGAAGTGAGGAAGATTCTAAGTGGATAGCCTTTGGTGAAAGGCTGAGTACAGGTACACCTGACTCAGAGTCTGAATCGGATACAGAGTCAGAATCAGATACCGAAGCTGATGTATCTGCCAAAAACACTTCTTTGTCTTTGCTTGAATATCTTATTCGTCTTTTATCACTCCAGACCAATGACAGGAAAACAATTCTAGAGGCAACTGATGAGAGATTGGCTTTATACCTCAAGGATGAAAATTACTCGTTGAACACCACATACCTCAAGACGAAGCAAAACCTTAAGAATAATGAATCTCTTGACCTCAATTCAAATATGAAGAGATTAGAAACTCTTAGCCTTAAAAGTGATAAATAATATATAGTCGCTCGCCATGTCGTAACTCGTTATAAACCTTAGACTATTTTGTTAATTTCCTCCTTTACAGTTGCTTGTAAGCTCACGAAGTAATTATTTTCCATTTTTTTTAATATTATTACTATTTTAATGCTTATATTCTACATAATTAAATATCAAATCCTTGAATGTTGTCCAGTTGATCAAACTTAAGCAGACCGGGAATATCGTTAAACATAGGTATTGATCCATATTCACTGAATAAGGATTGATCTCCATTTTGTACATTTGAGTTCTGCAATACTGGTGGCAGTTTTGTTTGTGCTCTTTGTGTTTGTTGATATTGCTGAGGTGGATGTGGAGGATGGCTTGATAGAGCAGGTGGATGGGGTAACAGTTGGTTCAGGTGATGCAGCAGTTGCAGCAGTTGTCTTTGACGCTGCTGAAGCAGAGGGTTACGCTGTAACAATGATTGTTGAGAAATTGGTGAAAGTGGAGACTGAACCCCCAGTAACTGGTTTTGTTGTTGCTGATGGTGAAGCAGTTGTTGTTGTTGTTGTTGTTGTTGTTGTTGCTGCTGCTGTTGTTGAAATTGTTGCAGCAGTTGTCGCTGCAAAGTATGCCCTTGTTGAGGTTGTGATATTACCAGCGACATCGAGCTTCTTTTGTCATCGCCCTTCAATTCATTTAAGAATAGTTCGTACTCAGCAAGTCTTTCATCGTTTTCCTCATTAAATAAATTATTTAAATCGGTAAATTGTGGTTGTGATGTCGGTTGAAACATGATCCCATTATCTATTTGAGTTGACGAAGATGCATAACCTCCAAGTAAATCCAAATCTTTATGGCTGTAATTATTATTCACGTGTGGCTTCTGTGACGTTGATTGTTGAGAATTTAGCGTATTTAAATCGAATGAAGATTGTGAATAGGAGACAGGAGGATATGCAGACGATGTAGCAGCCACAATACCGGTATGGGTGTCAATATTCTTACTGAGACTAGTACCAGTGGAGGAATTCGATGCAATAGATAGCACACTTTCTGGTCTCTTTGGCCGTATTGGTTGGTAGTGAGTTCCATTGTTACTATGACCATTACCATGGTTTAGGCTCGGTGTTTTGCTGAGCGGCTTGTTGTTTGTGTCAAAACTGGTGGTTCCTATCAATGGAAACAACGGAAACATACCATCTGCGAGTTCCAATTGTTCTTCAACTGACTGGTTTTGAGTCTGCTGCTGCCCCTGGGACTGGCCCAGTGGTTGGCCCTGGGAATATGATTGCAGACCATGGGATTGAGCCTGGCCCGGTGTAGGCGATATCGACGATTGTTTAGCAAAGTTCAGATTTGTATTGGTAGAATTGTTTCGACTGATCGAAATCCCGTGGTCCAAGTGATTCCCAGAATTATCCACATTCATGGCGTCGTTGACGTTGGTCTTCGAGTTACTGCTGCTGTTGGCGGCAGATACCTCTGGAGAGGGCAGAAATAAGTCAAACAAGCCCAATCCAGGCTCAAATGGTACAACAACATCCTCAATAATGTAGTTTGGGTCTAGCGTGCTAGCGGTTCCATTAAGCTCATTCCCACCTGCGCTTCCGCCTCCAAGTGCTGCACCTTCATCCAAAGAGGATTGCTCTGACAAGCTGTATGGCAAGTGGCTGCTTGAGGAATACCCACGACTATACTCAAGCAAGTATCCACCACCACCACCACCGCCTGCAGCAGCCATTCCTCCACTGCCCGCGCCACCACCATTAACACCACCATTAACACCACCATTTGGGCCTGAGTTACTCTTTGCATCCAATAAAGGTAAGCTCAAGTCGGACTGACTTCTCTCCAACAAGGAACGGCGTCTTGACAACTCCAACTTGGAACCCAAAACCCTCGCCTTGACACCATTTGGTGCTGACCCATTGACTGATGAGCCATGGGTGGTAGGGTTCCCTGAGGAACATGTGCAGTGAGTGTTCTTATGACACGCACACAGGGCCAAGTGCATCCCCGGGCTCTTCCCCTTCTTACCACAGGTGCAACTTACATGTAGATTTTTGTTCTTGCGCTGGTCTCTGCAATGTTGACATTGCGAAGCAGGTCTGCCCTTGGGTTTAATCATTGTTAGCGGCTGATCGGTGTGGGTACACGTTGTTACTCGATGGCCACGAATGCATCTTTCGCAGGCATACTTAACCCCGTTAATAAGTACCATGTTGGCTCAAAGGAAGCAAAAAAAAAAAACAAATCCACAACCAATCTGTAGTGTTTGACCTGGCTAATCCTGGCCTGTACTCTCCGAGCGTGACTAGGGTATTTGGGGGACTAAGCTATGTTCCTTCTTCAATATACCCCCTCAGGTTCACTTTTTAAGTCCTCAGAAGGTCAACTACTAACTAAAGTACTCTGCAACAGGTACAAAATCTTTATTACTGATATAAGAAAGGAATGCTAATAATGTAATACTGAAAATCTTCTCCCTGTTTCTAATCCACTTTTAATTTTGGTTTCCTTTTTTCTGGTTGCACTACTTTCATACACAAACGATTTTGATCTCACGTTCGCACTTTGCCCTGGGGAGTGCAGGCAAATGGAGCAAATTGGAGAGAAAGGGCAGGAAAAAAAAAGAGGAAAGCGCAAAAAATATGCAAAAATGAACGAAAATAGCGCCAAAAAAACCCCCAAAATTGTAAGCGGCTGTCGAGCCAAAGAATTAGCGCTGGAGAGAGCGAGCGCAGATTAACAGAGTGGTATTGTGGAGGGATAAAGAGTGGGAGGTAGAGTAGCTGTAGATCTAGAGTTGGTATGAGTTTGGTAAAGATATCTGGGGCACCAAAAGTGCAAAAAAAAACCACTAGATATGGCATTTGAGTAGGGTCTTCTGGTATCTCTGACCCTGGTCTGGCTGGGGCAGTTGGACTGTTCTTTTGTGGGCTCTCTTCCCTGCGCTCGCTCCTGTCAAAAATTTTGATCTGGAACCGCACCAATTCTTGGGCAGAGGAAAAAATTTTCTTGCTTTTATTTTTTATTTTTCCACTGGAAGAGCTTTAATTACTGTGGGAATGAGGGGAGAAAGGGAAGTGGAAAGCGAAAGAGAAATGGTTAACCGTGGGCGGGACGACCTCCACAAGCCTGGAACAGAGAGATAAGCAGCAATGTTATTTCAGAGGAATGATGTATCAATCTATCGTGTATCATACATCAATGATAGCCATGCTCCAGATAAGCATGCTTCGACCTGAATTTTTGGATTGTGCCATCGACTGCAGTATTCTCAGTGCATGATGTGCATTTAGCCCTGTGCTTGACAGGGTAAATACAGGACCAAGGAATGAGTTGGTCCTTCAAACGGCACCAAAAGGAAAACCTCGTAAGTGCTAACCTTCTATTTTTAGTACGCAATTTTTTACCTGACAAAGGCTTTCCCATGTGCACGTCGCTTTTAGCTTATTTTTACACCTGCACTGGGTATCTTAGACCCGCTCGGATCCTGTGTTTGAATATCGTTTAACTACTATTCATCATTTCTGTTTTTGCTTTGAAGCAACTAAAATTTTAAGCCACGCCTGTCAAATAATAAAAAATATTTCGTACAATCAGAAAGAAAAATCCACGAAAATTTGCGAGAATGGGGGTGAATGGTGGCCCACATAGCAGAAACTTAATAAAGAAAATACAGTCGTATAAGAAAAAGAAACGAGCTCGAACCAACCAAACAATATAAATATTTCTTGTTCCGCCCCCCTGCTACTCCCACATTCTTCAAATTATCTTACACTTGTGCTCTTTTGCTAATACTGTAATGGGCTATGTCCTTCGTGTCGTGCTTGTCTATATTCTTTAAACTCGCATCGTCCTGAGATGACGTAACTATATTGACTCAAAACGAAAAAGAAAATAAAAAAAGAGGTGAAGCTCACGCGGAAAGGTTACTGAATTGAATTAAATTAGACCCACCACTTGGTTCACTGTGAAAGTTCACCCTTCTCTGGTGCACTTTTCTCTTGGCCGCTGTATGCTCTTGAAATTGGATAACCGCCAACATGGTAATTATAAACAGCAAAATAGGCTTTCTATTGAGCAACAATGCTGCACATTACCGAGCTCAGGCTAATTACTTTATCCTTTCTTGACTTTGTATCCCATCTCTCAGGTATCAACCCTCCTCTCTTTAGAATTTTATCTTCACCGGAAAACATCTTAAACGTCCATAAGAAGGGGTCCAAACTCCGAAACCATTTCTCATAATCAGGTGGAGATCCAGAATTAAAAGAAAAATTAACCCATTTCAAATTCAGTGGGGGCTAGGTTTACATAATAGAGGAAAGTGATTGGGTAAAATGGTGCGGATTTCTTTTAAGCACGATAAGCAACTTCAAATTTCCCCACATATCAAAATAGCGAAACTGTTCCAATTTGTTGGAAAAACCTTAAACACCATATAATATTTTCTTTAGCTGTAGCTGTTTCTTTCTAGCATCAAGTAAAAGTAACACATTTAAGAAATGCCCCTGTTCCAAGAAGTTGCGGAACATAACACCAAAAAGGATTGCTGGGTAATTATCCATGGTAAAGCATATGACGTCAGTGATTTCATAGATGAGCATCCCGGTGGGAGTGCGATCATATTGAAGTATGCTGGAAAAGATGCAACCAAGGCATTTGATCCGATCCATCCTGGAGACACATTGACTAAATATTTGAATGAAAAGAATCATAAAGGTGAAGTCACGGGAACTCCACCTAAAAAGGCGGACAAGAAAGCAAAGAGCAGCAACGGCAGTAAGAGCCCTAGCGCCGATACCAGTAGTGCCAGCAATGGCGACAAGGGAAGTCAGAACAAAGCAGTGGTTGACGAATTTGACGTAGAATATGACGAACAGGAAGACAAATTACCGATTCTGTCTGAACAAGAAAGCAAGGCTGAATCTACCAAGGGTGAGGATAAAGACCAAAATGTTGACGATGATGACGATGACGATGATGACGATGATGATGACGAAGACGATGCCCGTGTGAAGGATATGATTTCCAGAAAGCCCGATATCGCCCAAATTTACAACTTGAGTGACTTTGAGTTTGTTGCTAGACATACAATGGGTAAGATAGCCTGGGGCTATTATTCATCTGGCTGCGATGATGAAATAACTCTTAGAGCAAACCATTTGGCGTATCATAGGATTTTCTTCAAGCCTAGAGTACTTGTTGATGTTTCATATATTGATACTTCAACTACGATGCTTGGTACCAAGACTGCTGCTCCATTCTATATGACTGCTACCGCATTAGGAAAATTGGGCCACCCTGAAGGTGAAACGGTGTTGACTAGATGTGCAGCAAAGACTGGAATCATTCAAATGATTCCAACGTTAGCATCTTGTTCTTTTGATGAAATCGTAGATGCTGCTATTGACGAGCAAACGCAGTGGTTGCAACTTTATGTTAATGCTGATCGTGACATTTGCAGGAAAATAGTTGAACATGCTGAGAAGAGAGGTATCAAGGGTTTATTCATAACTGTTGATGCTCCTCAGTTGGGTAGAAGAGAAAAGGATATGAGGCTGAAAAATGTCGAAGATTTGTCTCACGTTCAAGATGAAGATGCTGGCGCAGATAGGTCACAAGGAGCTGCAAGAGCAATCCTGTCCTTTATCGATACCAGTTTGAATTGGAAAGATATCAGTTGGTTCCGTGAAATCACAAAGATGCCCATTATATTGAAGGGTATACAGTGTGTTGAGGATGCTATTCTCGCAACCGAGCATGGAGTTCAAGGCATTGTAATTTCTAACCACGGTGGGAGACAATTGGAATTTTCCAAACCTCCTATTGAAGTATTAGCCGAAACTATGCCTGTTTTGAGAAGTAAGGGTGTCGATTTTTCCAAATTTGAGGTTTACATTGATGGTGGAGTCCGTAGAGCGACCGATATTCTTAAAGCTATATGTCTTGGAGCCAAAGGGGTTGGAATTGGTAGACCATTCTTGTACGCAATGTCCACTTATGGTGATGACGGTGTGTTAAAGCTCATTAATATTTTGCTCGACGAGATGATTATGAATATGAGATTGTTAGGTGTTACGAAGATTGAACAATTGAATGAAAAATATGTTGATATTCAAGGGATTGGCCAGAGATTCTTACCATCGGACAGATTATTTGAAGGTGTTTACGAGCCTTTGCAATCTCCACAGTTTAGAGATAGTAAGATTTAGAAAATAATACAGGGAAGCTAGTTGTCACTGCGTAATGAGGACTATAGGTGTCGACTTTGTAGTATGTAGTACTAAAGAACAGAATAAGTAGATTCACGGGATGATATGTGATATAGAACATATCGTGATACATGTTATGAAAAAGCTTCAAAAATGGAATGAAGATATATCCAGCAAGAGAGGCGAAGAAAAGAATGAATGAAAGGAAATAAGTCAAGTACTGTGACAATAGAGTATATACAATTGCATTTAAAGATTGGGTTGATTGGGTTGATTGGGTTATGGTACAGAGATTTGCAGCCAACGGAGTATAGCAAGTTATCTTAAAAGCCATGGCTACATGCGCAAAAAACTATCATATTCTATCCGGCATTGTGATATGAGTCTAGTCTCCCTCCTCCTTCTAAGCTAGCTCTAAAATCATCCATTTGCATTCACAGGGCATTAATATGGTCGAGCATCCACTTCGCCGTTTTATAATCGCTTGTGATTCCCCAGAACAAGCTTCGCTCAACCTAAATTCAGTGCAGAAAATATGCAGGTCCCGGAATGTCAAAAATCTAAGCAATCCATGAGCAGCATCACTCTGAGGAATACAACCCACATATGCTCAATAGAGAACAAAAAACAGAGTACCAAGAGGTGACAAACCAATTTCTCCCATTTGCGGTTATATTTTTTTGGCTTCAAGCGTTTTACGTTTAAAGCGTAAGCGAGATATCGAATATTCAAAGAATGGGGGAAGGTTGGAGAATTTTGACTGTTTCAAGTGGGTGCGAGGTGAAACGCTGCAGCAGAAAGAATTCAAATTTTAGCGAGCTTTTGGGTCTCCCAGATGATGGGGATCTTAATTGGGATAAGAGTGTCTGGCCGAAGACGGCCACGGATTTGAATTTACGTACTTTCATCACATTGGTGAGACATAAGTATACACTATATAAACGCATATACACATAAATTCATACATACATACATACATACATACGTACATACATACATACATACATACTAATCGCTCTCACACACACCGTACGTAAATACGTGTAGTGTCTCGTGTGTTAGTCCTGTCAAACGACCGCAGCCTGTAACAATTTTCTTACCCAGTCCAGACATGCATAACCAAGAAAGAACACGAATAACACCGTACAGTTTACGTATTGTTTAAGAGAAAACAGGCTACTTACAATGAGCACACATCCGCTACCACTTGAGCAGAAACCGCGTTCCACCTAACATCTTCGGTATTCATTGTGCTGAGCTCCTCTATTTACCAATTGACCTCCGCAGATTTCTATTTTTTTTTTTTTTTTTTTTTTTTGTTTTTTTTTTTTTTTTTTTTTGGGGGTTGTTTTGGGATTATTTTGTTTGTATAAAAGGACCCAAACATTAACCAACCCACACAATTTAAATACGCGT